GAGTTCAGTTGGACTTCGACGTTGTGTGGTGAAACGGGGGACCGTAAACGTCAGACTATATCATTAGTTTTGGCAGTCATGGACGATCGCAGAGGCAAAGCGGATAAGCGCATCTTTATCACGAATGTATCCGGGGCTCAAGAAGAAAGCATTCACTTCCAAACAACGTGTCTTCATTCAAACATTGACCCGTCGTAACACTCAATATGATCAACTCCCTTTTCCAAAGAACAGCTTGGCCTGCCCTTTCTCCACCCCGTCTCCTCTCCCAGCACCGTTTCCCGGTGGCCGTCCCCGCCCTCTAGAAGGTTTCGAACCGCCAGCACCTTTTCTCGCAGGGGCCGGTGCAGGATTCCTTTCTTCCTGCCGCATTTCCTTCGATAGATCGAGGGCAAAGTGGTAGTCCTCGTGTTCGGCTTTTTCGCCTGGTGGGAGATGGAGGTTACAACGTGAGCAAAAGTAAGTCTCGGGTGGTCTTTGCGGTACGGAGGGTCTAGCACGAGGAACCGGTGTTACTGGGTCGTGATGCTGTTGTGGTGGGGAATGTGACGCGGGCTGGGGTTGGGCTGAGGGGGGTGTATCTGGTGGATACAGGTCCATGTCTGAACTGTGACGGTCTAATGGTGGTGTCGATGGTCGCTGTGCTTCATCGTCTTGTTGTGCTTGGAAGGGATCGAGATCCTCTCCGGTTGCTTCCGCCTCGTCTCCACTCTCGTCCCTTGTAGACTCGCTATGTGCTTTCCACAACACAGCTCTCGCAGCATCGAAGTCACTCTTCTTCTCATCTCTCGGGCCGAAGAAATTAGCAATGTTGCCTTTCGTCCTTCTCCGCTTTGCTGGTGGCTCGCCTCCACCGACGGTAGCTCTGCCACTTGACAGCATGGCCTTTGCTTCCTCGCCTCGAACGAGGAAGCCGCCAATTCCTTTGTTGTTCGTGATGCCATCTTCGAAACCCCCGACGCTCAGAGAAAGATTGGAGCAAGGCCACGCTCTCCCATCGACGACAACTTGAGCGAGGAGATTCTTGGCGAGATCGAACAAGATGGTTTCTGACAATGGTTTGCCTTGGGGTATCGGTGCTTGTCGACTTCGTGTCTGTGCACCTTGGCGATGATGCAAGTTGATGCTCTTGGGCCTTCTCTTGTTCTCCAGCACACCCTCTTCCACGCACCGTGAGAATATGTCCGCCACGAAAATGCGTAGCCACCGTACACCCTGCTCGAACGAGTTGATGGCCGGTCTGAAGGATTTCGCCGAAAGCATGCTCTTGATCTGCGTACGCGGGTTGACCTCGCTGCTGTCTTCGCCTCTAATGATGGAATATATCCAACTGCCGGTGTCATCGCCTAGCTTCTTCAGTTGGTCCAACGGCTGTTCCACAAGGTCCTTCACTTTGTCTGTCCCGAACATTGCCACTACTTCGTCCCCCAGTTTGCCTCCTAGCATGCGAATCTTGGTAAACTTCATGTCGGAGAGAAAGTGCTTGACAGCGCGATTCCGTATAACGGTTTGTTGATTTGGCTTCTTGTATCCTGATCCTAGTTTCGATAGCATCTTGTTCCTCGCAACGCCCCCAGAGCATGTGTAGCCCAACGTATCCTTGATATGTCTCCTCACATCTCGTACGATCTCGGATGCGATAACCATACACACGTCGTCCCAGTCTGGATCTCTGTCCTCTCCATCTTCCTCGCCTGTCTCAAGGAGCGCATCGGCCGCCCAGTCCAACACGGTTGTAGGCACCTTCGGCAGTGGCTCCGTCGGGTCGTCGTACGGCGCGGGGCCTCTCAATTCGGGGTATCTCTCCAGCAATATGGTATGCACCTGCGCGCTCAGATCCATGAAAACCTCGTCGATACTCGCCTTCTCGACGCGTTGTTCTTTCTCGGGCAGAGTCTCCTTGATGCATTTCAGGATCTTGCGGCTCTCCATGCGATATGGGTCCAGGCTGACTTTATGCGTCGCCATGTCCTTGAAGCTGTTCTCATGATACGCCCATGTCTCGTCTCCTTCCTTCCACGTCGCAACGTGTTGTAGTATAAGATCCGGGCATTGCTTCAATGCCTCTGTCGATGTGACGTGTCGGCTGAGTCCGAATGCGCGGGCGGGGTAGTTGATCGCGATCAGGCCCTGCCATTGTTGTACGGCGAGAGGTTTGGAGGGGTCGATGCCGAGGCGGACGGTTTCGCACTGCGCGTAGAAGGCATCGAGGTCGACATGTGCGATCACACGGAGGGGCGTCTGCGGGCTGTACGTCTTGAGCTGGTGTAGCTGTTTATACGTGAACTTGGACTTGGGAATGCGACGCGGAGAGGTGATGGAGAACTGCGACGAATGAAACTCCGGCGATGGGGACGACATGCCGACTGACGGCTCATGTCAGATACCAAAGTCGCGTTTCGGGAAGGCGTAAGACAGTTCTGGAGGGTACTAGTGCAGTCACATAGTAGAATAGAAGAATGCGATGTAGACGCGACACCTGGAAGGCGCGTGTTCCCGCGGTCCCGTGCATGCGCGTCATTCATCCCCGAGATCGCGCTAGCCAGATTAAATTCGCTGTTCGATCAACACCAGGTCTGCAACCATTAATTAATCTCACCACAAGAATTGTGCTACCATTGGATAAGGAACTACAACGTCGCGATCGAAGGCAACATTCATCATGAAACATCAACCGTCAAAGTTCAGGTCACGGCACGCTCATGGCATTCTGTCTTTCTCCGCTGGAGCATGACATTAGCATCATGCACTCCCCGGTGAACACACAACGTTTAGAGGAGCGAGTTTTGACTTCAGCTGTTCAAAGTCGAACAGTTGGATACTATGACTGTGCAAATGTGCTGCCTTAACAGTCGAGGAAGATGTATCACGTAGACGGCAGACGTATATGAACAGGCGATATATCGCGGATGATCTAGGTCTGACGCGTACCTGAAGATCAAGCCACGGCGTGCTCCAGAGCAGGGTCACATTTCGGTGATTGGCCGCGGAGCCACATTTCGAAAGATAGCAGCCGCAAACCAACGTCGTACAGGATGCAAGCACACGCACGCCACATTGCAATCACAGTGACAACACGGAAACGACCCGACGGTCTCAAACGTGGCAAACAGAGCCGTGAAACTCTTTTAAGATGCAGCACTGCCATACCAAGGCTCTTGACATAGTCATTGACGTCATGGTGAGCCCTTGATCCAATAGGAACATGCGGCTCAAGCCTCGCGACTACAGCAGGGCGAATACCTAGGGCGTTGCTTTTAATCGAGCTGTATTTTGTCGTGTGTAACCTCCTCTAATTCTCATACATACTGTTACCGTAATCATGATCGCAAAGATGGAAGGAAGTAATGGACATGCGGAGTCTGGTGGAGACGTACCAGTCTACGCGATTGACAATGTACCCATTACCCAAGAAAGGAAACCATACATCCAAGGGAAGAAGTCAAACCTACCACACGCAGGTACGTACCACGGCGCGCACGCTACTACTACGTCGTCTGCTAACTGCCAATAGCGGTCGCACGTGCAAACCTCGCCCCGTCAGAGGAAACACCTCAAGGCAGCACGCAAGACGACTGGGCAAAGAAGCACTCACATCAAACTGTGCTGCAACAGCACTGCGACTTCTTCGACCGCGACCACGATGGTATTCTCTGGCCGCAAGACACTTTCGTCGGCTTCTACCGCCTAGGTTGCGGACTCTTCTTCTCCGCCTTCGCCGTATTGGTCATCCACATCAACTTCTCATATCCCACGTGCTCGGGATGGCTTCCGGACCCCTACTTCCGTCTCTTTCTGAACAACGTGCATAGAGCGCGGCACGGTAGTGATACAGGCACGTATGACACCGAGGGGCGGTTTATACCGTCGAAATTCGAAGAGATCTTCACCAAGTACGCGGAGGGACGGGATTATCTGACCGTGGGTGATCTTGTGAACGTTTTGAAGGGGCAGAGAAATATCAATGATCCCATCGGGATGTGTGGATTTATCTTTGAGTGTAAGCATTATCGTTCTCGAAAAGTATGAGGGGGAAATGCTGATGTCAAGTAGGGACTGCAACGTATTTGACGCTCTGGCCCGAAGACGGTCGGATGATGAAGGTAAACGATATGATAGAACCTATCTTAAGTTGCTGTTGATGCTAACAATATCAAGGAGGATATTCGCGCCGTATACGATGGCAGTATTTTCCAGAGGATCGCCGATAAGCGCGAGAAAAAGATGGAGATGCAGAAGAAGAAGAGCCAATGATGAGCGTCGGCATTTCCGATAGATCCATAGAGAGGGTCGGTGCATATGCACAGCACGACTTCGAAAAGATATAATCAGAGATCAAAAACCCGTTGTTGAACATGTGGCGCTAGGTGTAGAGAGTGTGTAAGAGTGCCGCTATTCAAGTGTCCAGTCCTACCAACCCGCGCCCAGACATGTGTCGTTCCGAAAGACCGGCCGAACCAAGCAGTGACATCACCAGTCAGCGCATGCCCCTGTCGCATCCATGGATTCCAATCAAAGAACCAGAACCTCACCTGACGATACTTGTACCTTTACGATAACACGCGCATAATTCTCGATTCGAAAATACAGATGGGGCTAGCTCGAAGGGCATACTACCCGTAGCCAATGGTAGCTGTCTGGCCGCGGACACCTGCATACCATTCGTTCAGTTCTTCGATCTAGCCGCTAGCACATAGCACGCAGAAAACTTTTACCATGGTGATCGTGATCGTGGATCAAAGGGTTGGTGGATGAGCTTTCCCGGATTACAGTACTTCGTCAGGACTAGTGGCCGGCGAAAAAGACCCATCGGACAAAGTGGGTCACGCTCTATGGTTTCTGAGCACACGTGAAGATGCGCAGGAGACGGAAACTACAGCTCTGAGTCAAAGCATTGAAGCGGGATGTAGCGAATAGCACAGTAACCAATACATCGTATATCGTATCCAGCGTTGTTGTAGCCTCCACCTTGCTCCAATTCCACCAATCTCTCGGCGCGTTCAAAAAACGATGCTTCGCCATGTCCTCGATGCCTTATCTTGCTGAGTTGGCTCAGCAGTATCGTTGGGAAGCTTAAGATCAGCCATAGTCTGCAACAGCCGATTCAGACGTTGTTCGGTCGGATCCGAGGTGATGGACTCTACGTTGACAGGGTATTCGCCATAGACGTGTTCCATCATCGACTTGTCCCTGTCATCTTCGTCTTTGATGTGAGCCCAGTCCTTGAGCAGCTTGACGTCTACTGGATTCATCTTGTCGCGCAAAATGCGGAACACGAGTTCAGATAAGAAGAAGTTATGGCCTTGATCGCGCAAGCCCTTGGCGCACAATATGAGTGTGGCTCGTGTGGCTTTCATTATGGCTGGGAAATGCTCTTGTTGCGCTTCCGGGGTGCGTAGACGCTCGATCGAATCGAAGCCTAGCTGAACGAGGACCTGAAGTAGGAATATGTAGTATGCCTCGAAACCGTGACGGTGGAAGAACATATGGAGAAGCGTCTGTAGACTCGCTTTCGAGGCGGCATACAGTCGTGCCGGACTGAAGCCTGTATACTTTTGGAATGCGCCACTATTGTTGGGCCAGTTGAGAGACTTTTCCTTTTCCAGGAACGGTTGGAAGGTCATGGTAACGAGGTTGTGGAACTGCATGCTGTGACCCAAACGTTAGTCATTTGTACATGGAAGGTGTGTCAAACCTCACTGTAGCAGAAGCTGTGTCGGCATGGCGGCATTCTGTGGCTGTAACGGTTCCGGAAGATCACGGAACCATTGTACCAGCATAGAATGATAACGACCGGCCTGCTCAATATCGAGATTGTTATCTCCATCGTCCTCTGGAAGAGCCTTTCCGGCTATGTCGTTCATGATGCATCGAAGCTTGATGAGCGACAGGAATGTCTGTCCCAGGTAGATGGGGGTCTAGTAGCTTGTCAATCTGGTCCATCATAAAGGGCAGGTGGGGACGTACCACGTGTGTCGCAAGAGGGTATTTGACCCAAATCTCGCCAAAGAAGTCGTGTGCGTCTTGGTACGCGGGCAAGCCGTCCTCAGGTGGAAGTCGAGACAGTGGGGGCTTCATAAGGTAAAAGCAAGAGAACCTGAACCTACATCAGAGGCGATCTCAATACTACGTTGGGGGCAGGAGCAGAGGTAGGAGGAGGGGGGAGGGAAAGAGGAGACGAAGGGAAGGAGAAATCAGGTAAGCTCATACGCTTGCTGAGAGAAGATGCCCCAGGCTGTGATGGTTCTTGAAATGCGGTCCTTCTCGTTATTGTACTGCGCGCTCTTAGCAAATAAGTCTAGTCTATCCGCAAGCGCTAGAGCGTGAGACCACATTGTCCAGCCCATTTTGTCCATGCCATTGGCGAAGTATATTCGGCCTATGATGGTAGCTGCCTGAGCAGACGGAAGACTACACACGGCTTGTGACTGTTCCAGCTCCCATAGCTGTCTGGTCTCAGCCATACACCGATAGCTGTAGGTTTTGGGGTTCCAAAATTCGGACCTCTGCCCAAGCGTACTCAAGCCGTGCTGTTGATCGTGTCAGCTCACAAGGAAGCAAGTGGGAGAAGTCAAGATGGAACCTACACAGGCTGCGGTGAGAATGGCGCTGACTAGGAGTGGTGAACAGTAATCGGACCTTCCAGCAGTCATGTCATCGAGAAAGTGATCTTTGTGGAAGCAAGGCCACAATGGGAACTCGTACAGGAAGTAGCCTTCGAGAAGGCGGGTGAGGAAGACGTCGTCGTCGCTTATCGAAGTCCACTTGGACGGCCTCAACGTGTCTGGCGACATGCGTGGATCGTACATGCGGGCGCCGGGATAGGGCACGTGGTAGATGGCGCTGTGAGTCTGCTCCTGGATGTCGGTGCCGTGATGGGCAGTCTCGTTTGACAGGGCCTTGTACAGTCTGGAGGCAAGGTAGGGGTTGTCGGCACCGTCAAACAGCGGCATCATGTCAGCAAGATAGGGAGCGGTGAACTGGTATGTCGTGTCTGGGACCAGCTTGAGCTGGACACGCAGACTGCCATACTCAAGGAAACGGAGGAGGCTGCGCTCGTCGGTGCCGCGACGCAGCTGGGCGAGGAGGTCCTGGGCGACGTGCCATGGCTGGGAGCGCAGATGGGCGAAGATGTGCCGGGGGAGGGCATGCTGGGGGTGATGGTGTGCGTGGACCTGGACCTGGCCATGGTATCGCCTGGCACTGGCAGCAACGGGCCGGACCGCAGGCTGAAGGTAGTTGCATGGCGTATGCCGCTTGCGGCACTCTGAGCACTGGGGACGTTCGGTCGAGCACTGGTCGTGTCAGAGGTCTGGGTGGGTTTAGCTCGCGCACGGCCGCCGACTTACCTTGGTGATGCGGCCGCGACAAGCTTCACATGCTCCCGCGCCCACAATCCGCTGCAGACTCAACGCAGGACGCGCCTGAGATAACGCCGCGCGCTGGGTGGGCTGCGAGCGGGCTGGAGGCACCTGCAGGTTCTCGTCCATGGGCAGTAGCTGGCTCACCTGTCAGGCGGATACGCGATTCGGGTCGTGGCCGCGCCGTCTTGAATATTGCTATTATACTGCACGTGGGTGGTGCAGGGCTCGCGGACCTCGACCTCCCTCCTCGCCTACGTACGTGCCTGCCTGCTCGTACACAGCATGACGTCGCCCGCCTCGACGCCCATTGGCCACGGCACAAAGCGCCTTCCTCTAATGGGCGCCCACCTCGTCTCGAAAACTACCCGATTCTGGCTTATTATGTTCAACGCGTAAAGGTTGTCTGCCGGAATGCTCCCCCGTTCCGTCACCACGACGCAGCTGCTACTCCGACAAGGACTGCACTCGTGACCCCACGCTACGACATCTAGGCGGACCGTTGTCTCCGCCTCAGTCTTTCCCTCTACCTCCGCCTCTGCGCACGTGCTTCGCCCCTTCTCCCAGCACTTGCAGGTGGTCACGTCCGAGTGAATGGATAACGGCCGCTACCCGCCCGAGGGCTCCAGCTCCAGGGAGGCAAAGGTGGCCATACCAAGAATTCCTGGCCATGGATACCAGATGCCGCCTGCCACAAGAACTCCTCGGGTCCGCACCGAAGTAGTGAGCAAGGCTGTGAGTAAACTCTCTTGTACGATTGGGCCGGTGCTGACGTCCGCTTCTAGTGCACGCAGTGCCGTAAACGAAGTGGGCCCTTCCTCATGTCCAGATCGCACAACTTCGGCTCGCTGACTAGCCCCAGAGATCAAATGCTCTGGCCACCGTCCGCAATGTATCAACTGTCAACGGCAGGACAATGATTGTCACTACGACCTGGAGCGCAAGGACCGCCTCAAAGGGTCTGTTCATGTCTTTGTTCATCTGCTCCACATCCCCGTCTGACTAGTAAAAGAGCTCAACGCAAATCACACGCCTTGACTGCACTCTTGATTGAAGTGAGCAGCCAGCTTGACGATGAGAGCAAGAAGAGAGTTGAGGATACCTTGGCATCTTTCGAAGACGACACGCCGCCTCCTCCACCAACACCTGCTCTCTCTCATGGCAAGCGCGCAAGAAGAGCTTCGTCACCTTCCCCTATTGACGATGCTCTGAGCGCCACCTCTGTAGATGGCGGAGAAGCTCACGTCTCAGCTTCAGTCGGCTCCAACGAAGACCTAGACTTCGTCCAGGAGGACATTCTCAATACGGATGAGGCAGACAACACGGGCTACATGGGTCACAATTCCCACGTTCAGTGGCTCAGAGCCCTGGAAACCAAGATCGAACAGCCCGAGGGCGAACCTGCCAACATGCCTTACGGGCCACCGGGCATCGACGGCGACGCCTTTAACCAGCGTGCTGAAGCGCTCCACGGGCGTCAGCAACAGAGCCATACTCGCCCTTCTCCGCACCATGACAAGTATTCTGGCTACTACTTTTACCTTGACAAATCCAACATCGACATCGATGTTGGTGATCCACACGTCATACCCTCTGCTGGGTCGGCCGAGAGGCTGTTCGACTACTACAAAGCAGTTGTGCACAGCCCATTCCCCATCTTAGGTGACATTTTCGAAGCTCAACTGAAAACGTACTTTGCCAAGGATCAGGGCAGTCCTACGCTGGTCGTCTGCCCCAAGTGGAAAGCTGTTATGAACCTCGTATTCGCTATTGGCGCACGCCATTCTCATCTCATCGGCGACGAATGGCAAGCCGACGATCGTGATCACCTAGTGTATATGTGGAGAGCAATCCATCTATTGCAGCTCCAAAGCATTGATACTCTCGTTGCGCAGCCAGATCAAGCGCTGATTCAGGTAAGATCCATTGAATTTGGACCCAACATCTTTTGACCCATGTCTAGGCATTTGGGCTTCTGTCTTTCTACTACTTGACAATAGGTCATGTTAGCAGGTACGTCGTACTTCGGATGAACGAAGGCACGTTCACCTTTGTAGCCTGCAAGTATGCTAACAAGGACGTTGCAGAGCTTGGTACATGATTGGCATCGCCCTTCGACACGCACAGGCCGCAGGCTTGCACCTCAGACACGAAGACCCTTCCATGTCTCCCAAGAGAAAGAAGGCCCTGGCCCAGATTTGGTGGTCACTTTACTCCATCGAGTGTGTTCTTACCTGCATAACTGGGCGCCCACGCACTGTAAGCGCCATTGACTGTACTGTACCGCCACCAGGCGCAAAGGGTACAGAACTGGATTCATCGTCTCGTGAAACCACCACATCAGCTGCAATCAGACAGGCATCTGAGTCTTCTACTGGCGAGTCCATGATCAAAACCAGCGTAGATCCGTTTGACGTAGCCTACGTTAGGATCGACATCCTCATGGACAAGATCTTGTCTGGCTTGTATTCCGCACAAAAGTCTGCCAAGTCCTGGAAGGCTGCCCAAAAGGAGATTGCTTCGCTGTCTGACGATTTAGAAGCCTGGGCCTTGCACTCCCTGGTTCGGGGTCCAGCAACAGCGACCGCTGCCACTTCAGAGAGCAACCTGAGCCGAGAGCAGGTGCTGCTCTACATCTATTATCACAACGCCAAAATTTGCATCACCCGGCCCTGTCTATGCCGGCTAGACCTGCGCATAAAGGGCCAGAGCGAACAGTCGACTCGATTCAACCAGAAATCTGCTGAGGCCTGCATAGGCGCAGCTCTAGATCTCACTTCCATGTTGCCAGATCCTCCCAACCCTGCATGGTTTTACGGACACGGTCCGTGGTGGTGTGCTGTTCATATAAGTAAGAACCTCACACATTGCGATATGGGGCTTGGCTAACCACCCCTATAGTCATGCAAGCCCTTACGGTCTTACTTCTTGAGTTGTCATTGGACGGCATACACTTAACGGTCGAAAAGTCACACATTACAGCCTGCATCGATAAGCTCATACGATGGTTGAATTCGATGAAACCCGTCGACGCAGTCAGCGAGAACGCATACAATGTTATCGCCAGAGTCATGAATAAGCAGACCAAGGAAGAAGCGGCCCGTCGTCGACTACCTCAGCCACAAATAATGGATCAGCACCAAAAGCAACAAGATATAGAGCATATGACCTTTGACTCACAGCAGCGATATCAGCCGTACAGTCAACCTCTTACGTTGCAGCAGTCAGATGTTGCATGGCCAAGCGCTGACCCATTCAATAGCAACATCTACGCGCAGTCCAACACAGGCAACTTCGATCTCTACGACGCTCCTGGCGGCGATATTTTGAACGATCCCACCACTGGGTTAACAGAATTCGGTCAGCCTCTGAATCTGTTCTATGGAAATCCCTACGAATCGACTTTCGATCACTGGGAATGGGATCCAGCGGCTTTTCAGGATCCAGATCAGCAAGGTTATCCAGGATATGAAGGGTATGATCCAGGTGGTGGCTAGATGTGTCGCGTACACTCGCCAGCACTGTGAATGAAAGAGTTATGAACATTGCGCCTTCAAGGGCATGCGTTCAGAACAAAATATAGAATGACAGCGGCATGTCTGAGCAATCAGCAATCCCAGTCTCGTTGTACAACACCCAAAAAAGCATATAGTATACTACATAATTGCTGTGTACACTACTGTACCAGGATTACCGTTACTCCTGCAGCCTTTGACTGTGTCCCATGTTGCTGCTGGTTTCCACCTTAGTCTAAGTGCGGTTTCATGAGACTCCTTGCGCTTCACCTTTGATATGATACTCATCACGGCGAGGTAAGCCCCATATTCCATGCCAGGGTGAAGCTGTATAACTGCATTTCTAATATTGATAACGATACGATAGACCCGAAGAACGTGTTGGCAGTAGTAGAACATTTAAAGTTCACAAGCTTCCACATTGTACATACCCTGAACAACCTGACAGTTCTCCCCGTATCGCTCCAGCGCATCCCTCACTGCATCTTCCAACTGCATGATCTCCACACCAACGAGCTCATTCTGAACAGTCCTCTCCGAGTCCTCCGCATGACCTTCATCATCGCCCTCATAAAACTGGTTACACACACCCAACCCTCTCATCGCTTTACCCATCTGCGCTTTCCCTTCCCCCTGCTCACCACATTCCTTCCACTTCTCCAATACAACTAAAGCGTTTCGGTGGATCTTGCTCACATCAACATGCGAGACAGTGAAGGTGGTATCGAGAGCCTTTTCAAGGGTGCGCAACAACGTGTTTTGCGTGACGGTAGAGGAAGGGGTAATGGGATCAAGGAGGACGGGGCGGTTGCGGATGGGGTCGAGGTTGCGGAGCATGTTTCCTGCTGCGAGGCCCATTGTGGGTAGGGGTGTCCAGTGTAAGGGTTGGTTACCGGAGCCGTAGATGCGGGCGTGGCGGTTGGGCATGTCTGGTCATCATATGTTAGCGGGATGGTGATGGTTTGGAGTTAATGGGGAGAAGATTACCAAAGCCTGCGGGGCCTTTCATCAACCCTAGTATATGCTGATCAGTATCACGCTTCAAGTCGAATAGTTAGAGGAATTACATACACATATCGAAGAACGGCCCACCGTTCAAACTCGTCCACGCCATCTTCCCTTCCCTCCCCAATCCCTCCAGATACTCTCTGATCCTACATTTACCGCCAACAAAAGCTTCCGGCAATCTTCTAAACGCCTCTCGGGTGATTTCTCCGACGAATTCGTCGGCGAAGAAGAGCTTGACGCCTGCAGCGACCGCGGCGTCGATGATGAGTTTGGATGGCTCGTAATGCGTGGCTCCACCTGTGATGCAGTTTACTACTGCGTCTTGGTTCTGGAAGGCGGCTTGGAGTGAGGAGAAAGATGTGTAGTCGACAGTGCGGTGGGTGATGGTAGGAGGTGGTTTGTAGGTTGATGTTGAGCGCGTGATGCCTGTGATGGTGAAGCGGGGTCCGTCTTTGAGGAGTTCGGTGATGATTGCGGTTCCGACGTTGCCTCCCGGCTAAGATATACGTTAGTTTTGGCCGTTGTAGAGCAGCTTGAAAGGAGGTGCCATGTGATGGGAATGAATGGGTAGACAGACACCGAGGATAGCAATGTTCTTGAGTTCCATGTTTGATGCTTTCCTTGCGATGAGTGTAGAGGGTGATGAGGTTTCGAAAGCTGGTTCTCACTGACGACTTGCGATACTCTGTTTCCTGAGACTACATGATCTTATATATCATGCGATGTAAAGTGCTCGCCCGACAGTCACCAAAGTTTCCGAAGTAGATGCCACGAATGCATCGTTTCGCTCATTTCGTCCATTTCTGAGGCTCGTTAAGGCTCAGGCTGATGTAGGCAGCCATTTGCATGTTTGCCTTGCAGCTGCCTGATGTTGGAAGGCGTTCGGCTTGGGTCTGGAAGCTGCATCCTTCGGCTCTGGGGATGAGAGACCACCGATCTGTCAAGACGACGCTTGGCTCGTTCGGTGTTGGTGCGGCGAAAGAGGCTAGCTCGTTCACGTGTTTCGTCGGCGTTTGAACTCGAAGAAGCTGGCAAGATCAAATGCCGAGCGCGTTCTATACTCATGTCATCATTCAACGCGAAGCAGACGCGTAATTGAAGCAAGGAAGATCATAGTAAATAAGAACAGTTATGCTGCGCGGAGGTTTGGACAGATTTTATTCCTACTATCGGGTATTATCATTGCTGCATAGGTATTGTTTTGGAAGTGACGATGGCGGGGCAGCCGAGGCCGTGATGGTGGGGTTGCATCATCTCAATACACAGATTATCGTAGCAACACAGTAGTTGAGATGGCAAACTGTCATGCCTTTAATTGAGCGGAGTAAATTACCACGCTCGATTTAGCAATCAAGCAAGTTCGGTCCGAGATAGGCCGCTTTGAGCAGCGCCGTTGGTGGATCTGGGCAGCACGTAATAAAAGGTTACCAAACGCCGCTGCGCTCGAGATAACATTAACCGGCAACCCTTTCGTCTCTACCCCTCCATTCTACCGGAATACCCAATTGCCCTTTCCTCGCCCTCACAAACCTATATCCGCCATGTCGCAACGAGCAGCACTTCTTATCGGCAAGCTGTCACACGCCCAAAAAGAATGGCAGCAGGTCTCGCAAGTAGCATCGAAGCTGCACGAGTACCCCGATGGTAACCGAGAAGACTTCCTCTCAAAGTGCAAGAGCGGAGAATTCGACGGCATCTATGCTCTCTACCGAAGCAACGACTCGAATCCGATCACCGGTGATTTCAACGCGGAACTGCTCGACGCTCTACCTAAGAGCCTGAAGTATGTTTGCCACAACGGAGCGGGATACAACAACATCGATGTCGCAGCATGCACAAAGAGGGGAATATCGGTTTCGAGCACGCCGATAGCGGTCAACGACGCGACTGCAGATGTTGCCATATGGCTCATGCTAGGCGCGCTGCGGAATATCAAGCAGGCATACATGGCAGTCAACAACGGTTTGTTCCTCCAGCTGTTCGATGAACAGTTACTAACATATTGCACAGGCAAATGGCGCGGTAACTTCTCCCTCGGCCACGACCCCAAGAACAAGACACTCGGTATCCTAGGCATGGGTGGCATCGGTTCGGCAGTCGCACATCGCGCAAAGGCATTCGGCATGAAGATACAATACCACAACCGCAACCAACTACCAGCCAACGAGGAGAATGGAGCAAAGTACGTCAGCTTCGAGGAACTGCTCAAGACATCCGATGTGCTCAGTTTGAATTTGGCACTCAACCCGTCGACTACGCACATCATTGGCAAGGAGCAGTTCAACACAATGAAGGACGGGGTGATAATCGTCAACACTGCACGAGGTGCATTGATCGATGAGGCCGCGCTGGTGGACGCGCTGAAGAGCGGCAAGGTCTGGACATGTGGACTGGACGTGTTTGAGGAGGAGCCGAAGATCCACCCGGGACTGCTGGAATGCGAGAGGGCGGTGTTGCTGCCTCACGTTGGAACTGGCACATACGAGACACAGGTAAGTGACGCTGTTCACGCATCTCATTGATTCTGAATCACAACTGACGGCTTTCAGCGCGACATGGAGATATTAGTCTTGGACAACTTGAAGTCGGCTATCCAGAGCAATAAGCTGTTGACGCAAGTACCCGAACAGAAGGGCAAGGCAAACTTGTGATTGATCGTCTGGACGATCGGGCTTCGAATTGGAAACATCTGTACTCAGTCTGGTAATGAAGATACGATGAAAACCAGCCTACAAATATTCTTCTGCATGAAGCGAACTTGACATGACTATAACCAAAAAGCTTTGTGCATTGCCGTTCACATAGTCCCGACGCGCTCTATGCCAGACCGCATGTCGGCTTAAGAACATAGGAGGCAGCGTCGGATCCGGTGACTTGGCTCGGCATATGGATTGCTTGGTGATTAGGCCAATGAGAAGCTTGTCGCAATTTCAATCACCTAGCTTCCGTGCGGAGGCAGGATGTGGAGGAGGAAAACCTGGGGTCGGTCTTTGAAGGAGTGTGGAGAAGAAGGGGAACCGTAAGAGTAAATCTGGAGTTGGTCTTTGCATCTTGAGAATATCGCACGTTCAAGAAATTATCGGCTGCTGTTTCGGTTCTTCACATGCACAAGACGAGCTCACCGCCCGTAAGCAACGCTAAGCATGGGCCTAGTCTGGCATCCGACATCTTCGCACGTGAACACGTCCGCACACATTCCTTCAGAAACTGCATCCGCACTGCACAGGTAGCGACTCATCCCGTCCCTTGGCCCTGCAGAACTTTGACTCGTCTTCCCACACTGCAGCCGTAGGATTCACAGCAAGAGCCTCAACACAATCGCAGCAACGGCGTTTGAATGGAAGGATAATTACCACCCGCCATGCCGACCCACCAGCTATGGGGCTCTCCGCCCTGTGACTGGCACATCTGGAGTCCCCACGATACGTCCCCACGTCATATCCCCGACGTCGCGTTGCACTATGCCGACAGCCAAGCCAAATAGGCTTCGCCGTTTGCCTGCGGGTTTTGGGTTCGGAGTTTGGCTAGCTGGGCGCTGCGAGGCTGGGGAAACTGACGATATATAGTCGGATGCTTGCCGCGATGTTACCTTACCTAGGTACATTGACAGATCGACATCACTGTCTTTGACCGCTCGTCGCATCGCCATCGCATTCGCGTCGGGCTTTTCTTCTGTCATATTTGGCTTCCTTTGCGACGCGCTGCAATCATGGCCAAGCTCAACATGTCTGAGGTGTGGGCGGACATCAAGACGTACCGTCGCGCCTATGTACTCACCGCTGTGGCTTCCTTTGGTGGAATGCTGTTCGGTTGGGACACGGGTCTTATCGGAGGTATGTTTGCGTATCCGCACGTGTAATGATCATGGCTAACGCGCTTGTAGGTGTATTAACGATGGACGCGTTCCAGCACTCATTCGCCCTAGATAAGGACAGCAAAGACTTTGCCAACCTACAGGGAAACATCGTCTCTGT